AAGGTGGAGACAAAAATCCAAAGCCAGGAATGGACTGACAATGCTGTGATGTGCAGTAGAGGAAACTGGAACTCCAGGTCTGTTCTCTTTGATTTTCTTTGGCTTGGGGCCGCTGTCTGCAAGACCCTTGAGATCTTGACCCTGTGGTTTTTATTCACCCCTCTTTCTCTGCTTCCCAGCACAGGACACTAAGAGGAATCCACAGCTGGGGTTACTACCGCATTGCTGGCTGCCTCAGTTCGGGTAAAATGGTTATAGTGAGTGTTTACAGACCACATATGTCATTTGAAGTTTATCTAATAGCCACAGGCCAGTGAGGTAGGTGCTCTGGTCCCCGTCCTCATGCTACAGATGAGGAAACTGGAGCACAGGGAGGCTCCATTATTTGCACAAGTTCTTACAGCAGTCCCTCCTTCCAACCCAACTTTCCTCCCTTCCAACCTTCCATCCCAAAGTCACTTTTTTGAGTGCTAAAGCTGAGGTTGGAGCCCAGGCAAGCCAACTCTGGAGCCCTTGCTGTTAGCCACTGCACTGGACTGTATCTGTAGGCACCGTCTAGCTGTGACCAACACTTGTCGTTCCAGGACTTTCACACTTAGCAAATGCAATGCTGTAGGAAAAGTGAAAATCTTGCTGATGCTTTCTGATCTTGATTCATCTACTCATGCACGCCTCCATCCATGTGTTCATCTACCCTAAGTTCTTTCTCTAATTCATCTGTCTGCCAATCCTCCCACCCCATTACTCATCCATCCATCCTTCCATCCATCCACGCAATAATTCTCACCTCCATCAGTCCACCCACCCACACACCCACCCATGGATGCATGTATGCATCCATCCATCCATTCTCCCTCTACTTCATTCATTCCATCCAACAGTCACTCTCTTGAGCACCTAGTACCCACCTGGCACCCATGATTGAGCAGAGATGAATGAGCTGTGTCCTCTTTCTTCTGGTTGGGTGCAATCTCAGAGATGCATAAAAACAATGTTATAGGTGCTACCTTATGGAGGAAAGGATATGCCTGACTCTGTGGAGTGGACAGCAAGTCTTCCTCAGAGACAGTAGGGAGCCCTGTGAGATAAAGAGCAGAGAAGCTGAGGGCCACACATTGTTAGGTCTGCACAGGGAAAGATTTCTCCACAGCAGCACGGAGGGTGCATTAGGAGGGTGGATAAGGAAGCATAAAGACCGGTGATTATCCAGGTTCAAATGCCAGCTTCACCAGGTACTGACTCTGTGACCTTATGCAAAGGACTTCTTGGTGTCTAATTTCCTTGTGTACTTTATGGACCTAAAAACAGAACCTACCTCATAGAGATGTGGTGAGGACTCAGTTAATTAGTATAAGGAAAGGAGTTAGAGCAGGACCTGGTCTGTAGTAGATGCTCAGTAAATGTTACCAATTTGCAGCGGCTATTCTTATTCTCATTCCTCCTCCTCCTCCCCCTCCTCCTCCTCTTCCTCCTGCCACAGTAATCAGGGAAGGGATCTGGAGGCTCATTCAGGGCCAATCCAGCATTTCCAGCCCTGGGATCTCCAGAAATCTTGCCCACAGGTGCTAATAAGCATTGTCAAAAGAGAGTTCTAAAGCCAAACGACTTCAATGAAATAAAACTAAGAAACAAAATACAAACAACTTCAGGACTTCTCAGAACCTTTTATGTGCTTATGTGAACTGTAAATCCCTAAGAAGTGAGGAATGGGCTTGTATGTAATATTTCTCAAATGTATTAGCCACGGCAACCTCTTTGGGGAAAGTTTTATTACAAACTTGAAAGGTGTTTTGTTCTTAAGACTTCATCTGGGGAGCAACGTCTCCAGCTTCTCTCTGCCTCAGCAGGTCTCTGCTGCCCAGCTTGGGAACTGGAATACTGAGGTCTCTTGGTTTCTTTCAGCCAGAGATGCCCTGGAAGCCTGCTGGCTCCTCCTCTGGAAGACATACAGGAACTTTGGTGCTGTTGGGCCCCATCCATTAAGGGGACAAAGTTGAACTTAATCCCAGGTGGCCAATCCCAAGTTGATTTGGGTCACTGGTGTTTAGGCATCCTTTTTGGTGGTGTTTAATTTAGACAAATGATGAAAACTTTGGTTCTGCCTAGGATACAGGCTGGTAGGAGTTGAGTCTCAGCACAGACAGAAGCAGAAGCTAGGGTGAGAAGGAGCCAGGGGGCTATCAGAGCATGCAGATGTGTGTGGATGAGACAGTGAGGGGAAGAAAGAGGCAGAGCTCTAGGACATAGCGGGAAGGCCCACACCTGATTCCTGTCCCAGAATCTATTTCTCCTTCACCCAGAAGCCAACATTTCTCTACATAGAATGCAACACTCCTCTACCCAGAATCCAACACTCCTCTATCCATAATCCAGCACTTTTCTACCCAGAATTCAACCCTCCTCTACCCAGAATTCAACATTCCATTACCCGGAATACAGTGCTCCTCTACCTTGGCCACTTAGGCAATTCTTTCCACTTTTCTGAGACTCAGTTTCCTTATCTGTAAGTAGGACACAAATAAAGTTGCCAAAAAGGGCTTTTATGAAAATTAAATGGGGCAAGAGGTTGAACACGCTGGACTCTTAGATATTTTCCCACCCAAACATGTCCTTCTTGAGTGTGTGAGTCTGTGTGTGTGCATCTACATACGTCATGTGTATGCATGTGAGTTTGTTGATCAGGGAAGGCATTTAAGAGTTCTGAGTCTGAAGTTGTTTCTTGGTTGAATTTGACTCCATTACTAGCTGTGTTGTACTGGGCAAGTTGCATAATTTCTGTATGCCTCAGCTTTCTTCTCTGTAAAATAGGAATTATTCTAGCACTCATGCATATGTTAGGGTGAGGACTGGAGTTTGTATGTACACACTAACTAATGGTGCTTGGCATAAAGGAGAACTTTCATAAATGCCTAATGTTCTTGATATTAATTCTCAAGCCCCATCAGTGTCCTTCCCCAAACCAAGGGATTCTATCTTCTGGAAAGCCAGGGAGGACAGAGCAAGGATATACTGCTGTATCTCTGCCCTCTCCTAGGAAGAAGACAGCTAGAGGTCACAGATGGCCCTTTTGACCTCTAGGGACGCTCCTTGGAGGAGGGTAGGGGACTCATGCTTTGTGCCCTCGCGCCCTCTGTCGGGAGAGCCTGGATCAGCACCATGGACAGAGGAGGGCTGAGGGCAGACAGCAGCAACTTCCGCCAGCTGGCCACTTGGAGGCCCAGAGCTCCTGGTGGTCCAGTGCCCAGGGAAGAGGCATGTCCCACTGTGACTCATAGGTCTGAATGCCAGGACAGCAGAATGGGAGCCCTGTCTCAGGCGGCCAGTCCATTAGGAGGCAGAAACCAAGGGATGTTACGCAGATTAAAAGTTTGTGGCCGCCCTGGGTGACTTTTTCTCTGGCTAAGTCACCCTGTGCTGACTGCACCTCTCAAGGCTCCAGAGATGCCTTTCTCTGGAGCACAGGGAAAGGCTGTAAAGCTGTGTGTTATGAAACAGGAGCTGGAGGTGCGGGCTCTGCTAGAGGAGCATTGGGAGTTAGGAGTCTTGCTATTTGTCATTACCTTACAGTAACAGACGTGTGGATGGCAGCCCCACCCCTCCTGGGAAAGCTAACTGTGACCTGGGCAGGATGTCTTCTCTCTGGAGGGTCTGGCCAGGTTCTATGACTATGTTCACTGCTATAGGCTACCTGCCAGCCCACTAAGTGTCAGCCTTGCACTCAGCGCTGAGGAATGGCATAGATAAGATGGTTCATAGATAGATCAGTTCATTCACTGATTCATTTGTGCAGCCAATCAACAAATATTTATGGAAGGCCTGCTATGCGCCACTGGCTAATATTTTTAATACAGAATGAAATATAAAAGTATGGGTGGTACAAAGGTCCTGGGGCTGAAGGAGGGTTGAGGTCTCCATATACCAGGCTCAAACATTGCACCTAAAAGTCCAGTTACTATCAGGCTTTCTTTCCTCCTCACTTGTCTCTCCCCAGGTGCCATTCACAGGAAGCATCACACAGACAACTCCTTAGCTCCTCTCCTGCTCTCTGGGGCTCCCTTTCTCAGATGGTATGAGCTAGGGGTGGAAGAAAGCACCCCCAAGTGCAGGGGGCGGGAATCTCATTACTCCCTGTACCTCCCCTCCAATAGCTGGGCTGCAGCAAGTGCAGCCAGGGAGCCTCCCCAATTCTGGGCTCCCCTGCCTGGCCACATCTGGTGTGCAGCTGGGCTCTGAGAGCAGGATGCCACATGCATCTACCTGCAGAGCCTGGGCCAGGGAGCCCCTTGCCCAGTGAGCTTGGAAATGTGATGGGATTTTGGTTCTGCTGGGGTTTTTCCCAGGCCCGAGGGGGAGGCAAGGGGCAGCAGGTGGGAGACTGTGCCCTATAGGAGGTGGAGAGATGCCCTCCAGCTAACCCTCAGCAGCTTGGAGAAGGGAAGACTGGGGCAGGACTGGGGTGACAGGAAGCAAAGAAGAGCCAGCCAGAGGGAGGAGAAAGGCCCGAGACTCTAGCATTCAAGCCATATCCAGCCCAATCAGGCTGGCAACCAATTAGTCTGATTAAAAAAAAAAAAAAAAATACCCACGTAGGGACAAACTGTAATCAAACACCTATTTATAAGGGTTTATTACGATCATTATTATTATTTTACTGAGAGGATCATTCTAAAGCCTGTCAGGTGAACTTATGCTTTCAGATCTTCATAAATGCAAATCGCTCCTTTCCCAGAGGGGAGGGCGGGTGAGCGAGCTGAGCTGCAAGCTGGCTGCCTTGGGAGACCAAGGGCTGAAGCTGGGAGGGCCAAGCCAGGCGCAGCTCCCTGCCAGGGGCATCACTGCAGGAGTCTGCCCAGCCACCGCCCAGGGCCCAGCCCTCTCCCACCCATCCCAAACTCCCAAGGGCTGCTGGAGATGGAGCTGGCTCTGTACCCATTGCCCACCCAGGTAAACAGAGCAATGCCTGCTGTAACCTGCCAGAGCCAGAGCAGCTGGGGCCATAGAAAGGACATTAGGTCATGGGATTTGACCCATGGCGGTGCTGCCTTCCTGGGTCCTGCCAGTCTAGCTCCTCATCCCCACCAAAGTTGAAATTCCATACCTGGATTTCCCTACCCGAGGCCACCCCCAGCCGGAGGGTAGCCCGCCCCCCCGGAGGCTCAGTGGTGTGTGCCCCGGGTCTGTGGGTGGGTGACGGTGGGAGAGTAAGGAGAAGAGAGGAGAGTCCCAAGGCTCCACTCCTCAGGCTGGGTGAGGAAGGTGTCAGGGCTGTAAAAGGGCGAGGGCTCAGTCTCTGCCGGGAGGAAACAGACAGCTCCTTCCTTTCCTGGCTGGATTAAGAAGGTGTCTGTTCCTGGGGAAGGAAAGCATAGCCCATTTCCCTGGGGTCCTGAGGGAGGGGGAGCCATGCACTTAAGCCCCTGGATCCTGATCCTGCACACCTGGCATGGCAGTGCTCCGAGCCACACCCTGCCTGCCCTGCTCCCAGGATGGCTTCGCTCCGAGGAGAGCGGCTGGGCAGGGATGTCCCAGAGACACGGCTAGGTGGAGGGGCCGGATGGAGCATGGAGCGTGGCTTCGGGGAGGGCCAGTCACCTGGGGGAGGGGTACTAAACTGAAGGGAGCAAGCCAGGGCTGTGGTGTGAAAGACTGGGGAGATCTCGGGGTGGGGAGGAAGGGTAGGGGACAAGGGAGCAGGGGAGGGGGAGGGGTGAGCTCTCCTTCTTCCTGCAATAAATCGGCTTAGCGGACGAGAGCAGAACAGCCCAGAAAGGATTAAAGAAAAGTCTGTATAATACAGCGGAGAGCGCGGCGCGGGGGGAGGGGGGGGACGGGGGACGGGGGGCGGGGAGAGGGGGAGGGACGGAGGGAGCGGGGAGGGGGCGCTCGCGCGGCCGGCAGAGGCGAGCGCGAGGCAGGAGAGCGCGATTCCGCTCCAAACTCCGCCGCCGCCGCCGCCGCCGCCGCCGCCGATCGGACTCAGGGCCGCGGTGGGCGCCGCGCGTAGAGAGGAGCCGGGAGCCACCGGGCGCCGCGAGGACGCCAGGAGCGCGAGGGTCGCAGCGCCCCGCATAGCCCGAGCCGAGTCGAGCCCGGCGCCCGGGGCCCGGCCGCGGCGGCATGGGGGCGCCCCCGCGGCGCCGTGGGCTGCCCATCACCGCCTCGGTCCGCGGCCGGAGGCAAGAGCTCGCCTGAGCCCATGGCGAGGGGATCCGCCGCCCGCCACCCCCTCCAGCCCCGCCGCCCGCCGCCTCCGCCGCCAGCTGCCGGGCACCATGCGAGCCTCCCCGAGCCTCCGCGGCGGCATCTGCCTGCTGCTCGCCGCGATCCTGGACCTGGCCCGCGGTGAGTGCGGGCGCCCAGCGGGGACGGACGCGGGGAAGGGCGCGGGCACGGGTCACTCGAGAGGCTGGGGTCCGAGCCCGTTCTGGCGTGCGGGGCTGTGCAGCTGGCTGGCTTGACGAGAGAGGGAGGACGTGCCTTTTGGAGAGAGCGCTCGTGGTCTGTGCCAGTGCGTGTGGGTGTGTGTGCGTGTGTGTCTGTGTGTGTGTGTGTGTGTGCGCGGGCGCGCGCCAGCGTGTCTTTGTTGCGTCTGTAAGGGTGTCCGGGAAGGAGCAGTGTGTGGAGAGGGTTCCGGAGTAAATTGAGAGACGTGTGTGTGCTGAGATGGTGTGGGGCTGTGTGTGTGTGTCAGAGCGGTACTGGAGTGTCCAGATCAGTTAGAGGAGTGTAAGAAGAGGGTGAGCAAGTGTTTGGGGTGTCAGTGTGTGCCAGCTTCTGCACGAGAGTGTGAAGTGTGCGAGCTCCTCCTCGTGTGTGTGAGCACAGTGAGGGTGGGAATGCGAGGGGTGGTGCTCCACGCGTGTCCCGAGTGTGCTCGTCTCTTAGGGGTGTGTGACAGTGGAAGATACTATTTCTGTGCGCACAGGAGGTGGGAATGTGACACTCAGGCCAGAGTGTGCCTACCTGGCATGTGCTGGGGTCTCCATGCTTCCTGTGCTGGGAATGTGTGGTCCTTGTGTGCAGCGGGGTATGGAGGGGTGAGCAGCTTGGGGTGGGTGTGTCCCACGTGGACTTGGTCACTAGCTAAGCTGAGCCAGCTGGAAGCAGGCTGGGTCTCGGGGGCTGCCCATTGATCTCGAACTATGGCTCTGCAGCTCCAGGGTGCAGGGTCTGAGGCCGCCTTAGGGCCTCCAGCCCAGCATCACTGGTGGGCCTTAAATACTGGCAGTCAGAGCGATGAACAGAGCAGAAGTGAAGCCTAGAACCCCCGCTGGAGGGAGGAGAGAAGAGAGCCAGAAGAGAGCCCTGGTCGAGGATTCCAAAAGGTCTGGCGTCCTGGTCCCCAATTAAGCTGAGGCAACTCTGGCTGCCCAGAACCAGCTTTGCTGGGATCTAAGCCCAGCTTGATGGAGGAGATGGTTTCAGTGGTGGGGTGTGTGTCCCAAAGTAGTCATGGTAATCAGTGGGGCCTTGGCCCCTATCCTAACTGAGCGATGGAGGCAGAGGTTCAGCTCTGGCTTCCGCCAGATCCCGCGTCCCAGTGGGAAGTGACTGGCTAGCTGGAGAGTGTCTGCCAGGAAGTGCTGTCCCCTCTACAGTAACCTCACCCCTTCCACCAGAGTCTTTGCGGAGCGCTGGTCTGTGCATGGTAGGAGCTGCGCAATCTGAGGCTGGAAGGTGGTCCCTTTGGCAGATTGGGGGGGGGGGCTGGAGCCCCCCAGGAACGCTAGCCCGCAAAAGTGGATCAAAATCTTTCCAAAGTGGATCAAAATCTCCCCCAACTTTGAGACAAGGGCTCCCCCATTCGGATGCCTCTAGAGGGGATGATTATTGGGGGAAGGGGGAGGGTCCTCCTATTCTGCTGCTACCTGAAGGGCGCTGGGCCTTGTCGAAACGCACTGGGGCCCTCACCTGGACCTTGCAGGGAGCGGGATTGGGGGCTGGGGACAGTAGGCAGCACAACTTTGGCCCCAAATGCGCAGAACCAAAAAATGCAGCAGGGGTGGGAGCAGTGACCAAGGAGAGCTGGGTGGAAACCCCGACTCCGCCAGGGCCCCACCCGCGCGCTCTCCGGGGAACCCCAGAGCTGCCTTCTCCTGACTTCTGGGTGTCGGAAAGCTGGCGATGTCCTGCCGCCTCCGTCCCCTCGCCCACCTCTGCAGGGGGCTTCGCGCCGGGGGTGCGCGCGTCTGGGCTGGGGAGCCCCCCTGGCCTTGGAGCCCGGGGGCCCAGAGTGAAGGGGCAGTTTAGAGGACAAGAAACTTTCCTTGCCTGCGGTGCAGGGGGAGGTCCAGGGCCGAAGAGGAGACAGGAGCTCACGAGGGTGGGGTCCCCTTCTCCCCTCCAGTCTCTGTGCACGTTGGTGGGGGTGTGCAAGAAGAGCCCCTGTGATATGCAAGAGGCGGGCTGTGCCCGAGGAGGGCGCCCTTCCTGCAAGTGGCCTCGAGCGGTGCACCTGGCCTAGGCTTTGCAGGGGCACCTGCCGGGAGCTGCCTTGCAGCGCCGGGAGGGGGCATCCAGTTCGCCACCCGGAAATGTCCTGGCCGGGTTGGGGGGTGGGGGTGGCGATGGCGGTCACAGCTGGGGGAGGCTCACGACTACCAGCCCCTCCCCCTTTGGGTCGAGCCAAAGGGGGTTGCAGGGATCGACTTTGGGGCGGGGGTCTGTGGGAGCATCTGCGGGAGGGAGGAGCCCGCTGCACACAGCAGTGGCTGGGCCGGAAGTTCCTGCTCCCGGCTCCCTCAGCGACAGACTCTCCGGAGGAGAAACCTACAAGCTTCTGGTCTTCCAGCTCCCCCCTGGAAAGCCCCAAGGTGCTGTCAACTCCTTTGGCCCCAGTGAAGCTTGCCTAGGTACTTCTAGAAGTCCTGCGCTGGGCCCGGGAGAGATGGGGCGCCAGGAAGAGGAGTGGGGGTGCGACTTGCCAGTCTTGGCGCTGGGGAATTCTCAGACAGCAAAGGGTGGGCAGGCCCAGGCCGCAGCAGGGGGTGTGGGGGGACGGCCCTGCCAGGGCTCCCCCGGCAGCCCGGAGTCAGCAGGTAAGAGGGAGGGAAGGCCTGGCTCTCCCGGTTGAGGAGCTGCTTCCGCGGAGACTGCGGAGGCTGCGTGGCGTGGCGTGGCGAGCAGGTGTGCCGACTTGGCATTTCATTCCTCCGCGCGCCCCCTCCCCAGCGGCTTTGTGGGGCTTCTCCAGCGCCAACGGGGGAGTTCAGCTTGGAGCCTGGAGAGGGGTAATCGTTTGTGTTTTAATAATTTTTTGTGTTTTAAGTGTGGAGAATGTTGGAGCTGGAACAATCTCCGAGATCGCATGGCCTGAAACTTCTAATTTTTTTTTAATCAGGAGAACCCTTCTAGAGGGTACCGATTTTCACCTCCACCGGACACCCCAATAATGCTATAAGCAAGCTGATAGGCCTGAAGGTGGAACCTCTGTGATCTATGTAGGTGCCGAAACCCATATGGACGCTGCTTCCACACAAATCTTTAACGACCTAAGATTGCTCCCTTCCTAATATCATAGCTGGGTTTATTATTTTTTTCAGTAGCCACCAATATGTGGCTTAGCAGTAATGTGTCAAGCCAGGGCCTAGCTGCTGCGTCCTCCTGCTGCAAGATGCATTCATAGCCCCTTTTCATAGCTGAGGAAACTGGGGCTTAGTTTTAAGATTTAATGACAGAGCACAGGTTCCTTTCAGTTTCTCCCTAGTCCCTCTTTCCCTCCAGTGTCTCCCTTCTGGCTTCAGAGAAGTTTTGGGCAGGGTGAGTGGGAGAGATGAATATGTGATGCCCAGATAGAGTTGGCAGCCCTGATTCTCAGATGGGGACCATGCATGTACTTGACCTTACTACACTCTGGCAGGTGGGCAGAGGGGGGCTTTGGGGAGGGTGATGGAGGTCTTAAAGAACTCACTAGGTCTGCAGTATAGGGATCCACGACTTCGAAGGCAGAGGCCAACAAGAGGAGGCTGCTAAGTGCTCCTAACTGGGTTTTCTGGGGATCTTGGGGCTATGTGACCCGGGGGGTCAGCAGACTGGCTTACCCACCTTGCACCCCTCTGACACCCCCACACCACTCGGAATTTATTTACCAACAAATGCTTATTGTATGTGATATGCCAGGCACGGTGATGTGGTTGGGGAAAGCCCCACACTTTATAGTGTCTTCAGATCAATGGGAAACTGAGTTTGAAAGGGGTTCTACCTCTGGCTGTAATTGAGCTGACATTGTGATTTATTCTTCTTGTTTC